GCCGCTTATCAGTCTTTAAAGGAGACTCCACCGTGAAAGCATTCCTGAATAAGTTTGCAACATCCACTGGCACCGTCCGACCAGCCACACTCGCAGGGAGGCTCGACCTATCACACAATTTGTTAGTGGCCTTCCAAAATTTACCAAAATCCTTTTTTTTGTGACATTTCGCCAACATATCAAGTTTCATTTGTTCTTGATTTTTCTGAACATATTTTAATTTGGCTTTAAATATCCTCCTAGTTTCCTTCATTTTCTCATATATTTTACCCATGGTAGGTGCCCCATACAATAACCACATTTGATAACAAACCCGAGCCTCCCTGTGAGCAGCACTAACATGTCTGTTCCAGCCCGTCACATACTTTCTAGATTTAATGAAATCCTTACCAATATATGTACATAATGCACCCTCCCTGAGTATCGATACTGTCTCTTTATACAAATTATCTAATATCAGCAAGTGATCAGGGTTACTACAATGAGCCTTGTACGAACAATTTATACAGTCTACAGACGCTAACAATTGGCATTTTATTTTTAATACTGTCAAATACCCTATTCCGCAGTGGTCGGTCATTGGATGGGAGATCAAAAATTTACTTTATACTACATCTGCTCGGAAAGTACTTTATTCTAGTTTTCAAAATGAAGCAGAAGGGACCTCATTACTGTTGTACTACTAAGCGGGCTGGAAAACTGTAGAAATTAATTGTTAAGGTGCTGTTTTTTTTATTATGTTCCGAGAAGGCAAGTGGTCAGTATGATTTTGCAGACTGCAATTTATCTTTTATTTGCTTCCTGAACATTGATTTTGAAAAAGAACATTAAGTAAAAAGCGCTCTGTTTTTTTAATTTCAACTGAGTTTTTAATTTTTTTTTTCCTACCAACTCGAGACGGCGTATATTACCGATAAAGAAGATTTTATTGTCACCACCACACTTAAAAGACACTACTTAGCAGTCATTGAGAACCTAGACTGTGAAATTAAGAAATCAATATAAAAGCTCCCAGGCAAAAGTTTAGGAACACTTATAAATAAACTTCAATTGTAGAATTTGTCTTTTTAGAATTTGTTTTTTTTTTATTTCAGGTTATAAAGCACTATGTATCCCTCGAAAGAAAGTGCTATTCCCAACTCGGATGTATTAAGTCAATTCAAACTATCCCCTCGTTGGTAATCGGGCACTTTCTCCTCTCGGTGAAAAATGTACTAATCTAGAGCTCCTCCGTGCTTCAGAAGACACGTTATGTTGGTCCCGAATGCATCTGTAGTCGTTAACACCTACCAATCCGCAGTGGACCCGCGTGGTGGGTCATGGCCATGACCCAATTTCCCTATTCCATCATTAGGGAAGGCCTGTGCCCTAGCAGTGGGTACATTTATAGGCTGATGATGATGACATCTTAATTGTATTAAAATACACCACCGGGATACAAAATCATATTTAATTTCCTAGCTTAGACATTGTTTTAAACTTTCATGGTCACTCACATTATAGTAATATATGTTATTAACGGGATTGTTACCATGTACCTTGTTTTTAGCAAGTTTCCGATATTTCTGCACTGTTGCAAGCGCCATGATCACGGAGTAACAATTCCTAGCTGTCTCCGAACTTCAAATTATAAACATTCCATGAAAGGAATAAAAATTTGAGAACAGATACTAAGTACTTCTTGCTTGTAATAAGAATTCCATAACAACAGACTGAATATTCTTAATATTAAGAACGCGATCGTCCCTGTGTTTTTTAGTCGACCTTTTCTCCCTTTTAGTCATAACAAAAAGTTCTTAATTAAATCCAGTCTCTCGTGCAGGTTTGACTCCGCAAACCCGTGGGGGTAACACGAAAGTTTTTTAATGCAGTCTCTTATAAAGAAAACTAGCTGACCCAGCGCACTTCGTACCGCCATAAAAAAATAGGGGTTGGTGGTAGAAGGGTGAAAATTTACGGTTGTATGTATTTTTGTATGATGTATCATAAAAAAATAAAAACAAATTGTCAGTAAAAATAATTAAGGGTGGACCACCCTTAACATTTAGGGGGATGAAAAATAGATGTCCGATTCTCAGACCTACTGAATATCGGTCAAGCCGCTTCGGAGTAGTTCAATTACGCACACCGTGACACGAGAATTTTATATAATTATTAGATATTTGTCAGGATCACATTTTTACATACAATACAGTGCGACCTAGATCTTGTGCCACTTTTATGACATTGACAGGAGGGCGCTGCTGGTGAAATGAAATGAAATCTGTGTTAATAACAGAACGTAAAATCTCACTTGCAGGGAACCTTAGAATTTGCAATAAATCTGAAAGAGTATACATATATATCTTAGTAACACAGTCTTATTTAAACATAGGCTTATTTATACCTTCTTAAAAGTAAAGAAAATATAACTAGAAAAAAATCCACGCGGGCCAGGCAGCAGACGGGACTCGAACCCGCACCCTTCGTAATCCGGGCGAATGCACTGACCAATTATGCTACCGCGGCCCTCACGGACCGCGTCGAAATTCTTCTACCCATTCTTAAGCTGCAAGGCAGCGCCATCTTCTCGCATTATAGATAACCCACAATGTCAAATGAATACTTTTACAAGTATTAAACATTTTAAAGAAGAAATAGCAATTATAGTTATAATTTTTATTATTTTAAAGCATGTAACTGCTTGATGTTTAAATTTAAAGAATCGCGCGTCCGCGTGGAATTTTTTCTAGTTATATTTTATTAAGATTTAAACATCAAGCAGTTACATGCTTTAAAATAATAAAAATTATAATTCTTAAAAGTAGTCCCGATTTCGGCCACGCACGCGCTACTAGATCTTGGTCCCACTGTATCGTATATATGAAGATCGGTTAACATGGGTCGCCTGCTTGTATGAAGGCTACTCGTCACCAACTCATCGCAGTGATTTTATTGTTGCACAAACGTTTTCCATTGCAAGTGATATGAAAGTTAGGCGGGTCGTGATTTTAGTTGCGCAATACGAAAGTAGGATGTGTGTGCACTGTGCACGTGTTTAGTGAACGAAGGGCAATGTGGTCTCAGTCGCATGCTAAGCGAATCACAGTAGCGTTAAATTAAATCCTTTTTCATATCCCATGAGCTTAAATAGCTTACAACAACATATCCTCTGTAAGAAATAACTTTTTCCGCATCTTAGTTGCGTAATTATTTTTGGACAGGCTGGCACACAGAAAGTGGTTAGAAGGTTGATCAGAGACCATTTGTACGGGAACTGGAACTGATGTCCCCGGCTCGTCCCCACTACACTTCCACCTAATAGATAATAGCCAATCAAACGACACGAAATCATACAATCGAACCTATCAGCGCTCATACGCGATGGCAACGACGCAATCACAACCAAGTTTTGGTCAAGTTAGGAGCATTTGCCCACTCATTACAAGGCCCTTCTAACTTTTTTTTTGTTCTGTGGTGAGGGCTAATTTTGTGACAAAAAATTGTTCATAAACATAAAAAAAAATATTACTTTTACTTTATAATCCTTTATAATTTCAACGACCGCACTGTTAAAATAAAGTGAAAAATTGACAAGCGATGAGGCTTTACTAAAGTTTTGGCAGTGTTTTGGCTGCAGGACTTGCTAAAGTTTTTTTTTAAATATTAGAGATTATCTGTTACAGCTTACATCATTGGTATAGTAGTTATTCCTTACCATTTCATATTTCAAACAAACATAAGAATAACTATTTAAATTCCTTTTTCCCTCCCGTGTTAATAACGTTTAAACTCCCGTGTTAATAACGTGCTGATGAGCAAAGCAGACTTTTAGAAATGTTGTGTATCTTATTTAATTTGTTATTACTTGATGTGAGTAATCATTTATAATATGTTATATTTGCTTGTTGTACCTCATATGTCATTGTCTGCTCGTATGCCCCCTATAACATGGCGACTGTAGATTCCAATTAGCAATAAAATGCCTTAACGTTCTGCACAATTTACAATATGATCTGTAATAGAAAAGTGAAATTAATTTATATAGCCAAATAGTATTCAATGTGTTGCAATAAATAGTCTAAAGATTAATGTTTTATGTTTCGAATACAAATTTACTATAATATAATGAGTAAGCTGTAAGGCACTTTTTTATACAAATACATACATTGGTATATTTCAAACAAACAACAAAAACTATTTAAATTCCTTTTTCCCCACTCCCATGTTAATAATGTACCGGTGAGCAAATATTTAAATCGTGATGAGAATGTTACATTTGATGGGCGAACTCCTTTTATTCTAACGATAACACATTATGACGTGTTACATAAATAAACTACTACGCTCACGTCACGATACTACTGTTCGACTGTGTACCTACGTGCGGTTTGTACCTCTTTCGTCATTCACGCAAGATGTGATTCGAATTTATAAAAATAGTATGTGATCCAGGACACGAATATTGGGGTGACCTTTATTTGCCGGCGACGACTTCGGTAATTCAGATTTAATAGTTGTAGGCGGGTTAATAACTTTAATATCCGAACATAATCCACTTTGTTGAATGCTTTGCTGAAATCCTTATTATTAATCTTAGTAGTATATTCGCCAAAGCAAGCAATTCTATAATACCATATATAGATTAAAATATTTAACCATCATTAGATTTATCAGATCATATGATGAATGAACTTACATAGCGAGAATAGGCAATGTAGTTAGGGAAACGACTTTGGATGCCGCACGCTAGGACTTGTGATTTTTCACGGAGTATTAAAATTATGCCTTTGCGAAAGATGAAAGTTAGTTGTTAAATATATGTGAACTAATACGGCATGCGCTTTCCACCACACTTAAGAACTGACCAAGGATTGATTTCATACATTAGAATTTAGAATGTTACCCATGTCTCATGTATTTGTTTAGCTCTATTTGGCGATAACGGTAGGAAATGAAACTCTTCAAACTTTCTTTTAACTTTGCCTGATATTCAAACAACGAATTTATTTTCATTACAGAAAAACGAATCGTCTCGAGGAGGCGCTCAACATCTTCGACACGATCGTGAACAACGTCAACTTCAAGGGCATCTCCATAATCCTATTCCTCAACAAGTCCGACTTGCTCGCCAAGAAGGTCGCCAGCAAGGAGACCGACGTCCGCTGGTACTACCCCCAGTTCACGGGAGACCCTCATAATCTAGCCGATGTCCAAATGTTCCTCCTCAACATGTTTGCGAACGTTCGCAGGGAACCAAAGACGACACTGTACCACCACTTCACCACCGCCATAGACACGCACAACATAGAGGTGGTGTTCAACTCCGTCAAAGACACTATCCTCAATCGCAATCTGGAATCTCTTATGCTGCAGTGACGCACGCGGTGCGGACGCTCAAGTGATGGTTTAGATTTTATACCAATTGTGATACACGTGGGCAATACGCTGTCTTTATTTTTTCGTCAAGCGCTTGGTGTTTCCGTCTCTTCGTTTCCTCTGTGTTCTTCTCGCCATCAGCACAAGAACGGGGGCGTATCGAAAAGACAAACTTGTGATTTTTTCTACCTTTTATTTTTAGCCACGATTGTACAATATTATGTATAATGTAATTATTCCGTATAACATGTTATTAATATTTATTTACCAATTGTTAAGACTTGGTGAAACTCTATGTATAGTATATCATATTTAATGTAACGATAAAAAAAAATGTATATCAGTATATTTATGACCAAAAATATAGATTTTGCACCACGACGAATAATATTTTGATCACTTTTTGAGAAATTTTACGTATGTTTGTACCTATTTACGCATGTAACCGTATCTACGTACAAGGGATTAGATGTAACGGGAGGCTGCATTGTTGTACACGGACGATTAGTATTAGACATTTAGTAAACATTGTATAATCAATGTAGAAAAAACATAATAATAGTATGAAATTAGAATTGAAGCTCCTGTATTGTAATCAACTGTATATCCTCGTGAGATAGTATGTTTAGAAAGAACAATTTGATTGTTTGAAAATAAACGATTTACTTATAATAATTGCAGTGCCAAGTTGAGACTAGACGCGTAATTAGTTAGTGATTGGCTATATAAAGGTATATCAATAAGGTTTATATTCGTGGTGATGTAACGGCGTGCCGTGCCGCTTGTAGTGTTGCTACGTAATCAAAATCTTTATCTCCCTTGGGGAGTGAAAGAGGGTACAAAGAGATCAAGCGACGAATAAAATTACTCTGTGATGAAATGATTATAAAAAAAATAAATATAACAGCAACGAATGATAAATTTCTGATGATTAAAACCGTTTCTAACGGTTTACAAAGCTCGTAAATTTTAATTTCAAATTACTGTACACGTTTCGGACAGTTTTCAGGATCTGTGGTCGTATTAATAATGTTACCTAAGTTATGTCCGAAACGACCATTCGAATGTAAAATTAAAATACAGTACGTGCTTTGATAAACCATGTAAGGAAGTTGTTGCTGTGTGTGGGAAAGTATAGGAAACTTGATTCTCTTATAATGGAGATGTTGGTTAGGTTTTGATACGATCGATACAAATGTACGCTCAATGTTTCTTAGTAAAATCGTCGCGGGATTAGGACTGGGCCTGCAATCTCGACGTACTAAGATGGCACCCACATACTGCCTTTTCTCAATGTCTTTATAGACACCTTATACAACCTATGTATGTCTTTATAGACAACTTATGTTTTGAATGATTTGGTAACGCCTTTAAAGATTAAATAAACGGCAATGGATGTAGAAAGAGGAAAGAATGGAATAGTTTATACCAAACTGATATCTCAGCCGCGCTTCACGTTTATGCTGTTTATAAACTTGACATCAGTCTGTCCTTTTCATTCCTTATAAAGTATGATAAGGACAGACTCTTGTCAAGTTTACAACACGTATACCCAAGTGAAGTGCTGGCATCAAAAAAAGTTATACTTCTCAACGTCGCTTGCGGTTTGGTAGCGGATCTACATAATAGATTGAGTGAAATATTGTAGGAGAACATAGTCGAGACTGTAGACCCAGGGTCATAGAGAACAATATCGCGATGTTCTTCTGTTTAAAAAGTCTCTGCGCTCACTAATTGTCCTCCTGTGTTTTCTCTTACGAAGTATTCCGTCCCTTGGCACAAAATAATGCAAAGACGTGTAATCTCACTAGCTTCTAACGTGTATATTAATTAATTATACATTTTTGTACAATTTATACATAATATTTTCTATAATATAAAGGGCACAAAGTTTCCGTTTTGATATGAGAAAAATTGGACACGATAAATTAATGAATTGATTAAGTAACAAAGGAGGTTTAAAAATGGTGATTTTGATCTGATTTACCGATAAAATGTTTGCGGCGATGCATAATTTCGATCATAATAATTATACTCATTTAGTTGTGTAAGTTTCAATAAGCTTTAGTGTATTTATTTGAGCTTAGACTTATGAAATCTTTATTGATTATTTAGATAGAGCATTATCTATTTATTCACTGTAAATTTTATACGAACGTTTATCGAGGCTATGTGTAAATACCTCTTAATTAATCGTGGTACATGATCGTATCGGTATCTGGTAGTTTACGCACCTTATATTATAAACCTTAAATATTATGACATAAATACAGAAATTCATGACAATATCTAAATAAATTCCATGTTGAGAAATGCATGCGAATTTGTATGTTACCACATCGACATAAGTTTTGAAATAAAGTAAGTGTCGTTTCCTTTGGTTTTATCGCTGAGTATTTTACGATAAATTTGGTAGGACTCGCGATGGGCAGTGGTAGGTTTATTTGCATTTAATAGTGCCATCGAGTTGCTGTGTTGCCACTAGAAAAATGAGACGATACGGATTTATTGTTTAACGACAACACCGAGATTTAGGGGATTTCTGCACAATGTTTCTTTTGAGTTGATATCATTAAAATTTTATTTAAGTATTTATTCTGAATTTAAGTAAGTCTTTTACATTGATAAGTACAAAGCGGAACTTTTTGAAATGTTGTGTATCTTATTAGGGTTTCGGAATTTAATTTGTTATTCCTTGATGTGAGTAATCATTTATAATATGTTATGATAATTGCTTGTTGTACCTCATATAATATGAAATGGCGACTGTAGTGGACAGAAAATAAACTAGACTTCTAATTAGCAATAAAATGTCTTAATGTTCTGGAAAATATACAATATTACCTGTAATAGAAAAATGAAATTCATTTATATAGCCAAATGGTATTCAATGTATTGCAATAAATAGTCTAAACATTGATGTTTTCTATGTTTCGAATATAATGTTACTATGATTACTATAATAAAATGCGTAAGCTGTCAGGCAATTTTTTATGCCAATTATTACCATTTTCGAGTTGTTCCATCCTTTTTTTGATACATAAAAAGGTGTAGTCTCAAAGCGAAAGGTTGTGTTGGCGTTGACAAGATTCCATTTACAACTATTTCTCTTGAGAAAAGAACATTTTTGTGCTGTAGAAAGAGATAAAGCTATTTCTTGTCGGAGGGCTCGTCTTTATATGGCTTCGCTCTATAGCTGATTTAAATCTTATTGGAACCATTGAATCCGTTCTTTAATTAATTACAATTTTTTCACATTAAACTTGCGCTAATATTGTAATGTATCTGAAATGACGACCCCATACATTAATGCTTTCCCACATCATTCCTGACAGGATGTGCAATAGTGATAGAATTAATTACGTCGTCATTTTAGATTTAGTACTTTGTTGGCGCGAGATATATTAAAAAATAATGTAATAAGGTTCAAATTAGCCACATCAGATTCAATTCAGTTAAAAGCATAGATATGAATACTATGTCTATGGTTACAAGTTTAATAAAGCGAACAATGCTCAAATTAAATAGGATTTTTCATTGCATTAATAATAAACACATTTATTTAAACTGGGAATAAATCTGTATGACATAAACAATACCCTAACACATGGTAGATCGATGTGATTTGTATGTGATTAGTTGAGATCTAATTTCGATAACAAGAACAAAAGGACTTAAGTATATTGTTCTGAAAATGTGTTACTTTTATTTTCAATTTGTATTGTGCGACTGTCATTCCAAAGATTTCTCGTTTAAACGATTCGTTGAATAGCACTCACTGAACTAACACCATGATACCAAAGGTCGGACTGACGAGATAACCCAGCTAAATTCTTGCCTTGTCATTTAAAATTGTTAAGGACAAGGACAAATAGATTTTGTTTTCACTATAGGAGGGCTGATGAGATTGGGAATAATAAACTTCTGTTTCAGACTAACCTGACGATAAATTACTAGAGGCTTTGGGTATTATATTTCATCCATTTGGAAGACCGGTGCGGTGGTGTCGCTACCAGCAATATTGAAAGATCTCTTGGCTTTATTAGTATAAATATAGTATTAGACAAGACATAAATTTGTTTCGTATCCATATTTAACATCGACGCTATAGTTTCCGCTAGAGGTGTTGTTGTGCCATCAACAATGTTATACCTTGTCTCCGCGACTGGGCTCCGCCTTATTTAATCGACGCGATCATAGTTTTCGAATACTTTCTAAGTCCGTATAAACTTTGATAAAAGGTGCCTTTTCGAGAACTGTATACGTTATGCTGTTTGCTGGTTAGTGCAAGCGCTGGCGTCCTATTTGGATAAAGTATATGCCCAGTGGTTTGCTGTATTGATCCAACGATACAATCGTCGTAGTCAAACCAATATCTGCTATGTGTACTTTTTGGGTATTGCGACATTTACATCACTATGAATAGTGTAGTTACCGATTTTCGAATACAAAGACTGCTATGCGAATCTTTAGCATTATAACGGTGAACAGTGGTTGCTCAAGAAATATGGTATGTGCTTCAGCCAGAATAATGTCAAATATGCCATGTCAAAGTTTAATTTTTTGCACTTAGCAGGTATTGGTTTGACAAGGACCAAATGTCAAATCTTTTGTATGTTTTTGTAGGAGTGTGTAGAAAATATATTTCCCTCCTTCTAATCGATCACAAATCAGCGTTATCAGTCTTATGGGTATAATAAGTTTTGGGTATCCATACGAAGAAAGTTGCAATCTTTATAATTATGTCAAAATTATTTGGAGCGAAGATTCATAATAGGTTTCAATAAAATGACGGTGCTTCGTATTACCGGATTGCGTCAACCAGAACCTTTAACGGACCATCTAAATTCTAATTCAGATTGATAAGTTTCAATTCACTCGTTTGACCTCACTATTTTGATGGAATTGTTGAAAATTAATTTTCTACCGAATGTAACGAGTTTTCAAGATAACAAAGTTTTTGGTAGTTAATAGGAACTTGCTGTTACTACGTTCATTTCTTTAGTTGATAACAGTAACTTACTACAAATAATATCAAAAACATTTCAATTCGTTTGTAGGATGTTTGTTAAAAAATAAGTATGTTCCCATTACTATCATGATTTTGATGAGAGTATAAATGTTATATCTGATTATAATTTTATGAATATTTGTGTATTTCTCTTTAAATCCTTGTCCTTTACATTTGTCCAAATATTTTTGTCAAGAATGAGGTGTTCT